TTCTTGTATTGATCTAACCCACAAGGTGCGTTAGATATACACTTGATATGCGTAGATAAAGCCACCACTCCACCTCCACCCCGGGGGGGTGGGTTGGTAAGTAGTTTCATTGTTTAAGGCATTTGGAGTATAGGGAAGACATGCGTAGATAAAGCCACCACTCCACCTCTACCCCGGGGGTGGGTTGGTAAGTAGTTTCATTGTTTAAGGCATTTGGAGTATAGCTCCCCCCCCCCCCCCCCCCTTCCGGGGGTGTGTGGGTAAGTAGTTTCATTGTTTTTTTTTTTTTAATGCTATGCTACTAGCTCTATTACAATGTAATATCTGTTCATATACTTTCTCAACCTACTGAAACACAAAGAGCTAATAACACCTCCACTGAGGCTCGAACTCACAACTTTCCAAATGGAAGTCTAACCCGGATACCATTAGACCACATAGTCCTGGTATTTGGAGTATAGCTTAGATTGGTCTTTGGTTAAAATATATCATAATGCACACTGAAGTATTCATATACACATGTTAAAGTATTTGGCCACGCACATTAAGTGTGGATCTTACCCACCGTAAAGCCATAAGGTGCGTTAGATATACTCTTGACATGCGTAGATAAAGCCACCACTCTACCTCCACCACCACCCCTCCAACACCCCCACCTCCCTCCCCGGGGGTTAGGGTGGGGGGGGGGGGGTAAGTAGTTTCATTGTTTAAGGCATTTGGAGTCTAGCTTAGATTAGTCTTTGGTTAAAATATATCATAACGCACACTGAAGTATTCATATACGCATGTTTAAGTATTTGGCCACGCACATTATTGTGGATCTTACCCACCGTAAAGCCATAAGGTGCGTTAGATATACTCTTGACAAGCGTGGGTGACAATTTAACTCGAAATGCCTTCCCCCTTAAAATACTTGTCCTATTGTGACTTGTGAGGGTAAGTGACAAGACTAATCGTTGTCAGTACTTTATCTATTTCCCATAAAGGAAATCCTTCAACATTGAATTGTCATTCATTACTTTAAATACGCATCCAAGGGAAATCTTGAATTTGTCATTCTCGCACATTAACATGTTAACCGACGCACCGAAAAGCATAGATGTACGCATATAATAGATGAAACCAACACATATTATCGTTTTTTTACCCCAACCCGTAAAAGTAACTGTCCTATTATCTGGATAAGTAGTGTCAAGTCTATTCCTTGTCAGCACTTTAATGCATTTGTAGTTGGGAAAACGGACAACATTAAATGGTCATTCAAAATGCTTTAAAAAATGCACCCATTAAAGGAAATCTTGAAAAATCTAATGCGTTTGTCATTCACGCACATTAAATTCTTAACCAACACACCCAAAAGTAGATACACACGCACATTGTAATGTTATTTCGCGTACGTTAAAGAGAAAACCAAAAGCACATTAAATGTCTGAACCTCAATGCAATTCGAAGTTTATGAAATGGTCAATATTGGATTCTCAAATCAGTGCATGTGACCAAGTTATTCGCCTATAAAATGGAAGGAAAACACAACAATTGAGCATTTGGTTTAATCGACACCTGTGTAGTATTCCTTCTTGGTTTCTCTAGCAGTATATATTGAAATGGGGTCAAGTGAAGTTTCCACACCAACACCACAACCATCATCATTTTTTCATCATTGTCTTGTTCTTATTCTTCATAATGTATACCCTCCTCATCGTACTCATCCTCCCTCTCCTTTTTGTCATTGTAATTAATTACAATAACAACACACTCTTAACCTGAAAATAAACATCCCTCTTAACATCACAATATTTGCAGTTTCCAGATGGGAACTGTAAAGGGTTGTGATGTTTTCAAATAACGTCAAGCAACACAACTCTCAAAGCTTCTATGAGGGTGAAGGAATCATGAGCAAAGCCGACATCTTTTGAGTAGAGCTCTACTAAAAGCCGTAGGTGGATCTTGTGGTTATCAACTAAAACGGCACACTTTAAACCTGAAAAGATCAATTTCTACGAATGTTACTTGATTTGGATGTGTTGGAATTCCCTGTCTGTTGCATGCAACTTAGAAATCAGCTGGATGTGTTGTTTTGTAAATTGCATGTAACAGATGGGGCAATCCAACACATCCAAGTCAGTAAAAAGAATTTGGTCTTTTCAGGTTTAGATTGTGTTGTTTTAGCCCAGACATACGGCATGATCCTCTATTCCTTTGGAGATATATCTTTTGGTACCTTAGCGCAGGCTTAACCAAAAGAAATATCTCCAAAGGTGTAGATGGATCCTGACGTTTGGCTGGGTTTCTTAATTACTAAAATAAGCTCTCAAATGTCTAGATGGATTGTTTGGTTGATGTTGTTTGGAATCTATCGTGGGATGTTCATTATTAATATTATTATGTTATTATTATTATATTAGTAGTGGTAGCAGTTCAAAGTTTAACTTATTTCATTGTAAATAATAAATCTTTTTGCAGTTTATATATTTTGTGTTTTACTTGATAGTCATTAAATAAACAAACAAATCCGTGCAATTTGAGGATAAAATCAACGCACATTATGCAATCTGGGTTTTGAAATTTTTGTGTTGCATGATAATTTTATAAAGAAATCCAAGCACATTAAGACTTGATTTAGCACAATTTAAGTTATTAAAAACGCTCATTAAGACTTAATTCCACGCACATTAAGCCAACGCATCTTAAAAGTCAAAATACTCTACAAGTGCGTGAAATAACATTACAATATGCGCAAAAAAACAACTAGATACATTCGATAGACATACTGTTCATTGGAGCAGGTTTATCTTCCTCCATTCATCACCACTTCTTTAAGGTTCTCCAATCCGCTTGCTGCAATTAAGATCACATCCAGGTATACGTGGGGTCAACGAATCCTCGGTTAGGGTTGGGATGAGGTTGTGGGAATATCATTTAGTGTTGGGGATGGTCCCGGATGTTTCCTCGCGAACATCTGGTAGATATAGTCTTGCGTGAGATCCTAGTCTGGAGCGTCATCACAAAAAGGTTCGTATTGTGGTGGAACATATGGTGGCCCATACCAATCTAGATCATATTTAGGAGGTGATGGTGGTAAAGGGTGTGGTGGTGAATCGAAACTGAATCCGTAACTGAATCCGTAAATGAATCCAGATGGTTGTTGTATATCTTATTCTTCAGAAGATAGACTGATAGGATCGTTGGAAGTGTCTCCAACCAAATGACCTCCATAGGCTACATGCCTCTCCCTCAATTTCTCCTATCCCTCCTTTTCCTCGAGACGCTTTGAAAAGTGCATATCATCGTGCTTTTTCCAGCGTCCTTCTTTGAATACATTTTCACCTACAAGAAAAACTAGTGATATCTTAACACCCAATTTATAGATGGAAATTAGGTTTTCGCGATCATTAACGTAAGTTGCCTTTTTGTTTGTGTATGTTGCGTTGTTTGATAACAAAATATGTGTCAATTTATACTTGAATGTGCGTGATATGTAATACTTAAGGATGTGTGGGTGACCATTTAACTCGAAATTCCTTCACCAATTAAACTTCCTCGAACCCCACCCCCATCCCCTTCCTACCATGTGGGTGGAGGTGTGTGGGTCGGTGCAAAGTAGTTTAATTATTTAAGATGCGTGGATGAATAGTTCAGGTTGCGTGGGTGACCATTTAACCCGAAATGCATTAACCAATTAAATCCTTAAGGTGCGTTAGATAAACCATTTACATGCGCACTAAAGACTTTAAGATGCGTGGATGAATAGTTCAAGGTGCGTTGGTGACCATTTAACGTGAATTGATTTTGGGTCTTCAAGTTTTCATTCGGAAAAACAACTGTTAAACATTGTTTCTAAAATGAATAAATGGATGAGCTTATTGGTGAAATGATAGAAGTTTTTGCATACATTGATCACACCCAGGATCAAATCCCCTTAAAGGTTTAATTTTTGGTAGTTGAATCCACGCACATTAGGACTTAAATCAATGCATCTTAAAGTCATATGTCGCGCACTTTAATTAATTTTTCGACGCACTTTAAACTTTTGGCATTTAAAAATCTTTTCCTTTCGCTGCAACTAAATTAAAAGTATATATACACGCACATTGTACTTTTATTTCGCGCGTGTAATAGAGCAAACCAAAGCACATTAACTCTTTTTTACCAACCTCTCTTTGTTAAAATTCTGATTGTGTGGGTAAGTACTTTCAAGGCTATTTGTTGTCAGCACTTTAAGGCATTTGTAGTTGGGGAAACTGACAACATTGAATGGTCATTCAATCCTTAAAAAAACGCACCCATTAAAGCAAATCTGAAAAATCTAAGGCGTTTGTCATTCACGCACGTTATATTCTTAACCAACGCACCCAAAAGTATATATACACGCATATTGTACTATTATATCGCGCACGTAATAGAGCAAACCAATGCACAATAACTCTGGTTTTACCAACCCCTTTTAAGTAACAGTCCTATTGTCTAGATAATTAGTGTCAAGTCTATTAATTGTTTGCACTTTAAGGCATTTGTAGTTGGGGAAACGGACAGCATTGAATGGTCATTCAATGCTTAAAAAATTGAACCATTAAAGGAAATCTGGAAAAGTCTAAGGAGTTTGTCATTTAGGCACATTAAAGGAATAACCGAATAGTATAACTACACGCACATTGTAGACTCATCCCTCGCATATATTATAGTCAATTAACGCAGATTAAATGTGTGAACTTCAATGCATTTTGAAGTTTATGAAAGGGTCAACATTGAATTCTCAAATCAGTGCATGTGACCAAGTTATTCGCCTATAAATGGGAAGGAACACAATACAACTGAGCATCAGGTTTAATTGAAATGGATTTATGTCACGTTTCCTCATCTACAGAAGAACCCTCATCATTCATTCCTTATCTTATTATTCTTCTTCTTATTCATAATCTATGTCCTGCTCATCTTCCTCACCCTCCTGCTTGTAGTGATTGTAATTAACTACCAAAACAACACACTCTAAACCTGAAACGTCATTCGTCATTCTCAGCTTCAAGCTCACCATGCTGCATCCAAACATCATCCAAAGCTGAGAGTTGAGAGTTTTGGCAGGCTGGCAGCATGTCGGATGCTGTCGGAACCAGAAGAAATGTCTTCAAAGTACTAAAAACCACGCACTGAATGTGTTGGTCTTTGTTTCAATGTGTATTTACGTTCACAATACTAGCATATTAGAGTGTAAATTATTATGACATGCACTGAAGTTTTAATACTCAAACCAACGCACATTGTGTTTCCATATTACGCATCTTAAATTCAAATGTCGCACACGTTAAATGCTTAATTGACGCACATTAGGCCTTTGGCATTTTCAAATTTTTTCCTTTTGCTTCAAGTCATTCAATAGTAAAACTAACTCACCTTAAGACTTAATTCCACGCAAATTAAATTGTTACTTTGTGTATGCCAAAGGACTAAATCAGCGCACCGTTTGGATTTGGCAGTTTACTTGGTAATTATTTCATAGACAAACAAACGCACTTTAAGTATTGAAATCGCGCACACTGGACTAAATTACAACGCTTCTTAAATTAATATTCCATGCACCAGAGTGGTAATACACAAACCGACGCACATTAATTTTTCAGATCACGCATCTTAAAGTCATTTGTTGCGCACTTTAAATGGTTAATCGACACACATTAAGTCTTTGACATTCTCAATTTTTTTCCTTCAGCATTTAAGTCGTTCAATAGTAAAACAAACGCAGTTTAAGACTTAATTCCACGCACGTAAAGAATTAATGTCACGCACTTTAAACTATTATAACACTCACCCTAAACTATTATACCACAAACTAGTGATGGCTTAACGCCCAATTTATAGATGGAATTTAGGGTTTGCGATGATTAACCTAAGGGTAACACTTTTAACGTGCACTACGTAAAAATTCAAGGTGCGTGATCTTGAAAGGTAAAGCGTGTTGGTTTGTGTATTAATAATTGCGTGCATGGTACAAGTGTTAAACATTGTTTCTACAATAAATAAATGGATGAGCCCACTGGTGAAATGGTAGAAGTCTTTGCATATATTGATCACACCCAAGATTAAATCCCTTTAATGTCTTAAATTTTTTTTGAATCCACGCACATTAGGACTTAAATCATTGCATCTTAAAGTCATATGTCATGCACTTTTAATTGGTTTTTCGACGCACTTTAAACTTTTGGCATTTAAAATTCTTTTTCTTTCGCTGCAACTAATTTAAAACTATAGATACACACACATTGCACTTTAAGTATTGAAATCGCGCACACTAGACTAAATTACAACGCATCTTAAATTAATATTCCACGCACAAGAGTGGTAATACACAAACAGACGCACATTACATTTTCATATCACGCATCTTAAAGTCATATCTATCGTACTTTAAATGGTTAATCGACGCACATTAAGCCTTTGGCATTCTGAAATTTTTTCCTTTGGCATTTAAGGAATAAGTCGTTCAATAGTAAAACTAACGCAGTTTAAGACTTAATTCCACACACGAAAAGAATTAATGTCATGCACTTTAAACTATTATACCACTCACCTTAGTGAAAATCGGGTTTGGGGAGACACAAATCAATGAAAAAACAAAAGTAGCGAATGTTAAGCATTAAAATCAAGTATCTCAAGGAGCAAAATCACGCACCTTAAGGATTACAATGAGTCAACTAAGAATGTGTGTTACATATTTTCTATTTATTTTCATTCTCAACTGTAAAAGCATTGTAAAAATAGTATGTTATGCCTTTTTCTTACCCTTTTGTTTGTCCTTGTTTTTTGGGTTAAGTGGGCAAGTCCTGGTGTCATGTTGATCTCCTCTAAACCCACAAATATTGCACCTCCTGCCTTTTTCTTTTTCCATTGCCAACTCCTTGCTGCTTTTGATACGTTTCCCGTTGCCCTTGTTCTTCGCATGCTTCGGGGGAAGTATATTGATGTTCAAAATCTCTGTTGATCCGCAAAAGGATTCTATAACAGTCTTCTTGCTATGCTGAGGGGATAACTTTTCCTTTCCTAACATCAAGAGCTATTTTTATTCATTAATCAGTTGCGAAAATGCAGTCAATTGCTCCATCTTTGAACCTGCTAGATCAATACAACAGTGTATATCGGCCCACAGTTTGTTCAGCAACACCTTCTTTTCATCCTTTGGTCCATTCTAAATAAATGACACCATCAATTTCAAATGTAGCCTTTAAAGATGCATCCTTAGTCCATCGATTAACAACATACTTCAGAGGTATCTTTTCAAGGTCTTTAAAGACCACAAATACATGTCTACACAACAGTCCAACCATCTCAAACATTTTGCAACTACATGTTGCCTCTTGTTCATTTGCATTGTGCACCACACTAAATATTCTATCATTTCCATCCATAATCTCATAGTGTAATATTCCAGCATCTTCTCTAACACTCAACACCCTACAATTGAAACAAGAGGCACATATTTCAGCCTGAACTTGATAGAAAACAGTAACGTATAGACAATTGAAGCGTGTTTTTCAATTCCCAACGGTGTCTTCATATCTGGATTGTAGCCTTCAATGTCACTGTTGTTTTTTGCATTTGTGTTACGCTGTGAATTAAGAGCACTGTCAAAGTTCATCATAAATTCAACTAGGCTAGACTGCGGGCCCGTAAAATGACTGTATGTGTAGTTCTCACTTTCAGAACGCGACGTAGTCCTAAGTAGACCTCCCATAAAAACATCACTAAAATAGGCTGGGATCCAACTGTTTCTTGCCTCAAACATATTGGTAAACCAATTGTGTTCAACTAGGTTGAACTTTTCCATGAGCTGTTTCCATTGTGTCTCAAAATCAGCAGGTTCCAAAAAAGATGTCCAAACAATGGAGTTCAGTTTGTTCTTAAACTCCTCATTCTTGTTCAATGTAGGACCAACCTTTTCTCCAACTTTATAGATAATGTGCCACATGCAATAATGATGCCTAGCTTGCTTGAAAACTCTTGGAATTGCCACTTTCATAGCTGGATCATGATCAGTAACAATTATCCTTGGTTCCACCATGCCCATTGCCTTTTTAAAATTTTCAAATAGCCAAACGTAAGACTCGATGTCCTCTTTCAACAACAGTCCAGCACCAAATGTGATACATTTTTTATGATTATCAAATCCTGTGAAGGGTGTAAAAACCATATCGTACCTGTGATAGAAGCCAAAAAAAATTTAAAAAAAAAATAAAAAAAAGACATCACAGTATACAAGTGTTAAACTCACGCACTTAAAGAATTATTTTGAAGCACATTAAGTTTTAAATTCGCGCACATATGTCGTTGCAGTTTTCAATTTAGAGTGATGCACCCTAAGGTGCGCGATATTAATGTTTAAAGTGCGCGATACCAATGGTCAATGTGCGTTTATTTATATTAAGCACTCAGTGACCATGTCTAAATCTTAAGGTGACTAAACTTACCATGTAATGTTTAATGTGAGTTAATTAATGAAACATACGTAAGCACGTTAATAGAATAATACATGTTGGTTGAATATGTAGCATCAAAAGAGACAACATCTCCAAATGCAGCAAAATTCATTTTTGAGATTGGATCTGCCCAAAATAATCTACTCTTCTGCTCATCTTCATCAACATCATACTCAAAAGCAAATGCGGGGCACATCTCTTGTTTTTTAACAAGATTATGCACGAGTATTTGTGCATCAGCACCCAATATGAAGGCTCTAAGATCCCTTATGAAATTTTTAAAGTCAACAATAGTTGCCCCAACTTCAGAGTAATCCCCCACAATTTGACTATATAAACCATGTGACTTTGATGCCCAAAATAATCTACTCTTCTGCTCATCTTCATCAACATCATACTCAAAAGCAAATGCGGGGCACATCTCTTGTTTTTTAACAAGATTATGCACGAGTATTTGTGCATCAGCACCCAATATGAAGGCTCTAAGATCCCTTATGAAATTTTTAAAGTCAACAATAGTTGCCCCAACTTCAGAGTAATCCCCCATAATTTGACTATATAAACCATGTGACTTTGATGCCCCCAATATTTGCTTTAGCACAATCTAGTATAAATTTCTGGTGTACAGCAGAGATGTTTTTGTTTCCCTTTAGGAACTGCCTTGCAAGGACTGAAGACATGCTATGATTATGTTTTTCAATAAACGTCTTAACCCCGTACCCACCACTTCCGATGTACATAAAAATAATCCTAGCTCTGCAACCAGTTCTGTTTGAAACTCTCATCCACTTTGGATTGGAAGAACATTCTCCTGCATCTGCATTTGATTTGGAGTGACAATGGTGAGCGCCAAAATTCTTAAATCCTTCTCTACTACAAACGATTTGCTTTAGAGTTATAGTCCCATCACGTGCTCTAACGAGAGAACTAGACCTCGTGTCAAATCCAACTTTGGCAGCATAATTCTTGTAAAATTCAATGGCAGGATCCAATGTTTTAAAAGTCATGTCAACCGGTGGTCTGATCTCATCTTCACAGTGCGGAGTCCAATATTGAGTCATTCCAGGAGATATGGTTAAAGTACAACCATTGTTGTTGCTGCTGGGATTAAAACTGGGGTTGTTTGAATATTGCAAGTCACTGGGAACTGTAACAGATAAGCATAATGTTGTTATAAGTGCGTGGTTGTAAACCTCTACGTGCGTATTGTGGATGCTTAAGATGTGTTAATTTAATCACTTTATGGCCAATCTCTTAGCTTTTATAATGACACATTTATGTGCGGTAAGTGCTACTTAACGTGCGTCAAGGAAACACTTTACGTGCGTAAGTTTAACAGTTAATGAGCGTAAGTGTTTTTTAAAATGCTAAGTGATTACTTAACGTGCATCAGTGAAACCCTTAACATGCATATGTGTAAAACTTAAACTTCGTTATGTGACATCTTAAGATGCGGCTACATAATCCTTTACGTTCGTTAGTGTATTAGGCGCAGAATATATGATGATTATTTCAGTACCTAAGTTGCATGTGTT